AAATTTCGTAGTGAATGGCTACATAAATCAAACTATTTATAAAATGTGTATTGGAGTTCCATCACCAAAATAGTTTGTTAAATACCAGTACACCTTCACTAGACATTTTCTTCTTTGGAAAGACCAGCAGTGTTATTTCAAAAATGCCCAATTATTTTTGGAATTTCATAGTGTGAAGCAAACATCTTAAGACTACACAACTCGAAATCTGCCTCACATAAAAGCACCCATCACTTTAAACTTTAAAACCACTTGTGTGATTAAATTTCAAGAAAATATTCAAAATTAACTAAATGAGCATGGGCTCATTGGACCAACCCCCCTACCTAGAAAAGGAATACTGACAACAATTCTGAATGTAGCAAATTTATTAAATTGACAAGTCTGTTGTAAACAAAAATCAGGTTAGTTACAAAAGTGTGTTCAAGATCAGTCTGACTTGTACTCTGACAAATTTAAAAGTACAAATTGATTTTTGTAAGAAGAACAGATATTTTTGTCCACTGTAAGGTTTGCATATTGTATTTGCATGACCTTCAAACTCTGTGTTTACAGGGTTTTTTCAGTATTCCTCTACGTTTTATCTGGTATTTATTCTTCTCTACCAGGAACTGTTGCTAAACCAGTAAAGTAGGGTAAAATGAACAGTTGATAACTCTGACATCATATACATAATACCATGTTGTATGGCACTCAGTAAAAGGTTGTGGCTTGCATACTTTGACATCCACCAAATATGGTTAAATTCTTCAAATACACAGTTTCATCAATATGTATTATGTCAATGGTAATTAAAATCTGTATCAAATATCAGGGGTGTTTAGTTGTATTGTTTTGTTTTTTCAAACATTAAAAAATAAAGGAAAAAATAATTCTGATGCAAATTATCAATTTCCATCACTACATGAAACCTAATGTTGATAAACTGTGATAGTTTAAAACACTAAGATTATGTAAATTTAAATGAAGAAAGTCCTGACTGGAATACAGTCTATGTATAATAAATATACAATATGTTAGTCTATGTATAAGTTACGAAGGTTCTGTTGTACACCATAATAAATATTCAATTCAGTCTGCCATTATTCGGATATTAATGTGATATATACTTGTATCAATAAGACTTGCTGGATCATTAGGACCTAATTTTCAGTTATTAACTCCAACGTAAAGGCATTCGTGATCAACATAAATTTTCTGAATATTTTAAGAATTATTCTGCAAGCTTTTCAACTGATCATTATGACCGAAGATTCCAAAATTTAAAATGAGACCAAAGCTACACACAGAAAAATTAGTTTACGTAGTGAAAACTTAATTTGTTCAATTGTAGATTTACAATTAAATTTAAACTTCCAGTTTTATGGTGCACATTTCTTTCTTTAATCTACTTTATCATCAAAGTTTATGAAATGTTTTATATAAATTCGACGTCTACATAATCTAACGTATTACCATTTATATTTTTGTGAGCTCGTACCACTATATCAGGTAAGCCGTAAAAATTAAAAAAAAAATTATATTGAAATATATGCAATATAAAAACCTAAGGCAGTAATACTAGTGTTTTTTTTATATAAATCAGTACCTGTACTTTGACGCTCAAACTAGGTGTAAATGGCGAAGTATCAAATATAAATTATAATATGATCATCTCAATGAAACAAAGAGGCAGAAATTTCGTGGTTATAGTTATAACTTTATCTTGGGCTAAATCAAATGATATTGTCCAGAAGAGGTGATATCTTTCCTTAAAACTACATTATTAAACGTTCTGTTATGCTAATTCGTGATCTGTGACTTGCATAGTTTAAAATTTTAGGCCAAGTCAACCTACAGGCTAGTATAAAATATGGTACTTGGTAGGACAAAATGGCACACTCAATTATCGAACTTACAAAAGTTCAAATTTACCAACTTACCGTACTTTTAGGCACATTTCCACGTAACAAGACGTTTTTACTTGCTTTATCATTAGCAACCTTCATTCTTTGACTCTGAACCATTTTTGGTACAATTAATTTGTCCAAAACGTACAGACTTGTTTGCAATTCTAGTTACATAAAGACTTCTTCGCTTTGAAACGACACGTATGTCGGCACGTGACCCGAGTATTTAAACACATCGGACCCAAGTGGCAGTTGAAACACTTTCCACGCACAAATTAGTTGATAAAAGATTCTTTTTAACTGTTAATTTTTGTAAAAATATAACTCAACTTGTATTACCAGAGTACTAAATAAAATATTAAGAATTTTATACATATATATATATATACATATAATAAAGTTATATCTTTTAATGAAAATACATAAAAAACGACAAAATCATTTACGCGTGGGAAAAGTAAATTCAGAATATAATATTTGAGTCTTTTGTAACTTTACGCACTACACTATAATTTCACATATAATAATCCTTTGAAAATGTAATTTAAAAATTTTGTTGTATATTTATTATATATTCGCAAAATACGAATAATCATCACGTGACTTGTTGACGTGTCAAATACACCGTGGGGATCTTTTCAATTACGTGGTAACGTCAACACCATAGATATACAGAGAAAGGTATATATATATATATATAGTCAACTCATTCACTATACGTCGTGTAGGGATAAAGTAATTAAACTATACCATAACACTGAGTATGTGTATGTAATATAAGTAAAAAAAATATAAACTTTGCAAAAGTATTTATAAGAATAAAATATACAAACATGTGATACAATTTGACAAGACTTTATGGAAGTATGATATGACTAAAAATTAAATTATAAATACTGAAGGGTGTCATCCTAGTTTTAAAGAAGACGATAATTTTTTCATTAGAATGTTTTATTAGATAAAACTAAAAGACATGCTGCGGTAGGTCACCACAGTTGGAAGGTTGCTTGCAGTTTAACACAAAGCTACACGATGAGCTATCTGTGCTCTGCCCACAACAGATATCGAAACACGGTTTCTAGCATTGTTAGATTTTAATAATTTTTTCATTCTATAATTCTGATTTTTGAGAGTAATAAATTTGAATGTGCAGAATAAATGAGGTATGTGATAGTTACACAAATGAAATGTTAAATGCAATTTCACATTTAATGGTTAAAAAATTAAAGTCCATGTTACAAATTATGCTCTCTGTAATGTGTAGTTCTAGGATGATGTGGCTAAATAAAAAAACGTGTTTTCTATTGAACGATTGGCTTAGCATACAAATAAAGGCATGGTCTGGTAGTTAATTAAAGTGTTTGACTAGTAACACGTGAGTCATAGGGTTTAAAACCTGTCACTTAATATGCTTGCTCACTCTTTCATCAATGGGAAAATTATAATGTGATGGTCAAGCTAACTCTTCGTTGGTGTAAAGTATCTCAAAAGTTGGCAGTGGGTGGTGTTGACTATATATATATATAGCTGCTTTTACTCTAGTTTGTCACTTCAAATTAAGGACAGTTAGCGCAGACAGCCTTCAAGTAGCTTTACGCGAAATTAAACAAACAAGTAAGCATAAATAAAGAAAGAATCCCAAACCATCGACCATGCTACTACATGCATGGTTATATAAAATTATATTAAACATTGACGTTCTTAACATGTATGGAGTCAGAGAGAAAGTCTGATGATCTGAAATTTCCACGAGCTA